CACTTCTTATTCTCACAGTTTTCTTCCTCATGACCGTGCACTTGGTGTACATGTTGGCTTTGAGGTTGCCAAGATATATGTTGTAGTCGATTGAGCGGATTAAAATTAATAGACGTGTTCAAAGTAAAGACAAAAACAGTAATTAAAGTATAAACTGTTTCCATGAGATTAGAGGATGCGGAACGGTTAAGGAAACGAAGTTGTTTCCCTCGAGTATTTTTCAAAGGAAAGCAAGCAAATTATACATCGATTTAACGACTTTGAAAGAGTTCAATTTAACTCTCACTGAGTTTAAGTTTGCCGAACTTTCCCAGAAACAAATATTAATTTTGAAATTGACTTATTGAGCACGTGATTGCAAATAAAAAGATTTAATCTGTAGCATGAGGTATTCTCAAAGGGTCGTCGTCCTTCTAGCGGCAGGGTTTTGACTTTTGGTTGGTAGTACGATTTTTTTGCCTTTCAGCGGCGATGTGCATAGAATAGGGTTTTCAATCGCTTTTGCCAGAAATCTTTATTATGCATAATGATTTCATCTCAAATTTTGAAATTGATCACAAAGCTAGTAAAGACTTATTTGATATTCAGTATGCTTTTAGCACCAATCATAAGAAAGTTTAAAACGCATTTATAAAAGATTTGCAAGTATCTGTAAATTTGGCAAATTTCATAAATTCAACAAGGTCGAATAACTCCCTAAGACTATTAGTAGTAACTACATCTGACATTAATATGGTGAAATAATGTTGTTCATGATGACGGAAGAGTAGGTGACGAAGATAACTGCAACAGGCCTTTTCATACTGATCTGCAAATCACTGTTGAGCAGTCATAAAATGTGCAACTTATAGAGACATATCAATATATAATATGCATTCCTTCCAGGGGCGATAATACTCATCAGTAATTTTAAGGAGGAATCAGTGATAACGAGGCTAAATTAGGTCTTTAATTCGGAAACGAAACGCTACATATCTTTGCGATCTGCGCAAGTTCTATGCACTCCATGACGTAGTCTTGTTGAATCACTTCACAGTGGGTACTTAGCAAGCAACTTTGGTCAGCTAATAAAGCAATGGCTACAGGATTTGGCAGAATTCCTTGTGGCTTCTAAGCAGCAGCTGTTTCTAGGAGAGGTCGTTTCCATTAAAATTTTCTATGAATTAAGTGAGACCACGTGGAAAATAATCCGATAAAAGGACAGATAAATATTTCCGGTCGCTAGAGAGTCGCAGTCAGAACCGAGAGATCCAAGTTTGATCTCTCGTCGAATCACTTTTCTCCCAAGGTTGCTAAATGAGTACCACTCTGTCGAGAAAAAACAGACTACACGATGCTTGAAGTATAGCTGTTGCCAACACTGCCTTTAAAATATGGCACCTTTTGCTGATAACATGTAAGGGAAGATCGGAGACCCATTTTTAATCTCATAAAAGAAAGACGCCGGAAACGCATCTACCATGAAAGTGCAAAGAAGACCAACTTTCCAACGGTTGCAAATTTTCCTTTCATTTCCATCAGAAAGCAGGATAAGTGTTTCTTTCCGTGCCGTTGACTCTGCAAAAGCAAACTGGCGACTTTCTGGTGAATACTAAAGCAGACTAAAGAATTGGATGAAACTTGGGGATGGAAAGAAAACAGCATATTTCGCGCTATTTGAATGATCAAGACCGGAAATAAACAATTGAATACTTTTGAACATACGTACTAATTCTGTCCAATCCCTTGAAGTCATGTCCTCATCACTCTGAATGGAGATTGTGTCCGTCTTCGGCTATATGCGTTCCGTATGCACCAATGATTTACGTCAGATGTAATGACGAGGAAGAGCTGGCTTGGATTTGACACCAAGATAGAAAAATGGTTGCAAATCGGACGACTGAGTTCATGGTATTACTGGCAACAGTGACAGTGGCCAAAATGACAGAGTTTGGGGCAGATGGTTGAAGGTTAGGGAAATGAGCCCTATAAGCTAAGATTCATGGAAGGAGATTAGGTGACCACCACCGAAAGGTCGCTGAAGAATCTCATGAACGACTTTCAGTTGAATATTCTTCAGTTCGGTTGGTAAACAACCTAAGGATTTCGCATGCTTTGTCGATCATGATGCTTTAATGATAAGAAATGAATTCTTTCGTCAAGTTGGTAAGCCTGATAAACGTAATCTGTGATGTATTTGATGATAGACGAGCGTCACTCTGTCGAATGAGTCTAGGTTTATACTATGTACATATTTTCCCCAAGCTTTACCTGTAAGCTACCCTTAACGAACTCGTTTAAGATGTCTAGTTCGTGGATTAGCTATGACCACTAGTTTGGAGCTGCATTTGCTGTTGTTGGTATTTTTATTTTTTATTTTTCTTATGGAACAATGGAAATTAATCACTCCATCGTTTCATTACGGTGCTTACTGTCGAAATTTCCGGTGTGATGTCACAAGCCGAGAGAGTCTTAGTTCTGAAGGTCACATTTAAGGCTAGACGATCACTGGCGTATAACTTCCATTCTACAAATCGATGCTAGTTTGGAACGATGAAAGGCAAATTATATGGTAGGATTCGAATCGCTCAAAGCTCTACTGATTGAATCAACCCGACTGCACTTGGTCATAGGCAGAATTTTATCTCTATGTTATAACTTGCTGCTATATCTAACACAGACATTCGCTTTTTAACTTTTTAAACGTCCGCATTGCTGAGAAAGCTGTTTCTCCTAAAATTATGGGATACCTCTCTAATTTCAGATGATCTGATTACCGACTTATTATACTGACCTTCTTACCCAGTTGGTCAAATTAATGTCGAGGGCCAGAAATAGCTAGGGAGAACCAAGTGGGTGTTTTTTGGATCTGAATTTCTCGTATATTTCTCTTTTGATCTAGTCGATAGTGTGGCGCTAATCTCCGCCACGATGCGATCGGTCAGAAAGTTCATATTCTTTTGGAAGAGAGTGTCTGTCTGCGTCCTAGCAGCGACTACTGAGTGTGATCTGGTGTTGCTTCGTACGTAATGGCTTTTATTTGTTTGCTTGGAAACCGGCATTCGAGCCTACGACCTTCCGAAGCCCGAAGGCGAACGAAAACTGCTGACCTACTGCTGCTGTAGGACGACGTGTCATTTTTGATCCTGCAGAATGAGTTACTGGAGGGATTGAACATCGGGCGATAAATCATGCGTTTGGTCGGTGGCTGTCTTCTGTGTGTGGAGTCGGTTGCTTGAGCGTGACTTTCGAACACCGTTCAAATCATGCACCGCATATCAGATATTGGTGTAAGGCTGAAGTGTTGCGAGTGACGTGTCACAGGAAGTCGGCAAGAGTCGTAAACAGGACCGACCGCCGTTGCGAGGAGGTGACACTCTTGTGGTGTTGATTTATCGAGGCTCTGACGAGAAGCAACGACGACGATCAATCGGTGTCGTGAATCACGTCCGCCGGAACGGGTGCACTCCTGTGAGCGAGAGAGGTGCTGAACTTGATGGATGGATGCTCGGTCGGTCGGTAGACGTTTCCGTTGCTGCGCAGATGAATTGGCCGCTCTTAATTAACGGTCGGATAAATCGTAAGACGCATCCATTCATTACGCACACCGCCGACTGACAGATGCTCGATACTTTGGTCTCGATCTCCAGAGCTCAACTGCCACTGCTGGTCTCGGGCAAGTTCCTTGTTGACCAATGATGACGTCACGAAAGCGATTCTGATGCCACCGGCCGCACCTGAGTCCACATCCAGACAGGAGGTGGCGGAACGCGGCGCCGTGACGAATGTCATCGACGGTGACGGACGAGTATATATTGGGCCATCAACGTGAATTTATGCGCTGTCGGTGTTGCGTGATTTGCGTTGTTAGTTTGAAAGTATGGACGGCAGAAAGATTAATTAGCTGTCGCCAAGAAAAGCGTGTCACCGGAGAACATGATCTGCTGACACACTGTGTGTGCTTCGGCGGCGGCGGTGGCGGTGGCGGTGGCGGCTGTTGGCTTTCGTTGTGGCCATCATGCCCCCGTCCGTAGTGGCAGATGATCGCATCGCATGGCGTGAGCGATGGATGTGAGCCAATCAGCTGACGCTGGCATTGCTATGCTGTTGTCCATTTTCACACACAGCCTGTTGCAACAGGTGATCCGCGTATATGCTGACGTTCGTCACTCACAGACAGAACCATCCATTATCGTGCCTGATCAGCGATGATCAGGTGCTGCCTCAAGTTAGGCTTGAAATATGGAAATTGAGGTGTTAATGAAGCCAGCTTGCAGAACGTCGACGCCCCGACTACTGACGACGTCAGGTGGCCGAACGGATCCTCTTCTCCACCTCCGTGTCCGTCCAGTTGATAGGCAGTTTTGAGACACGTTGTGCCACCCGTCGTC